TCAAAACTGCAAGTCAATCAAAACATTAGTTCTACAGTTATCGTGCCGGCCTACATACACACAGACGACCAGACGAAATTTTTTTTTGCATTTTCGGACTCCGAATGATTGGAAACATGAAGAAAATATTTAAAAAATAGGGATGAGAAAATTTTTTCGTCTGCACGAACCCAATACTGAGGCCCCATAGGAAGGGCCCCAGTAATTCTAAGAAAGTATTTTGCTTCCAACTCGTACCGTCCCTTTTTAGATTTTAGATAGTACGGATTAAACAGCATCCAACTCGGTTATGCCCGCTCCAACAGGACGGTGCTTCTCCGCATTATATACAGCAGGTGCGAGTGTACTTAGACCTAGCATTTCCAGGAAAATTGAATGGCCACCAAAATCTCCAGATTTTTTTCAGCAAGATTTTTTTTATATGGGCATCTAAAATCTAAGATCTATGCTACTTAACCAACTTGCCTACAAGATTTACGGCAGCGTATTATTAACGAGTATCATCTTGTAACACCAGAAATCGATTCGAGGAGAACTTATATCATTGCATGGAAGAACATAACTAATTTTAATTTTATGCGTCTTCGTAAATGAAAGGAGTAAATATGAAATGAGGAATTATTAAAAAGAGAATTAAAAGAACTTTCAAACAAGGTGTCACTCAACTCAACACTTTCCAGTTAGTAGTGTACTGTACACCACTTTTCAAGGGGTTTGGAAAAATTCTAAAGGATTTCCCCCTCGACAAATAAATTGACAGGTCTAAACGATTTTTTTAATGACATTGAGAACCCTAAACAAGAACTGTTTCGTTTTCGTTGACGTCCTGGTCCACCCTGTATATTATACACAAAAAAATCAAAACTTTTAACTGGAGGTCGGTTCTTAGTTTCATGATGACATGTATATTTTACACGAGCAGATGATGGGAGTTTTTGGGGGCTAGAGAAGAAATAATAAAATGGTTAAGATGACAAGATTCTATAAAGCATAAAGGATCAGTGATCAGTGATTTTTTTACACTTTTAGACCCCCATTGCTATCACCCTAATCCGTTTGTAGTGTGATAGCACTGTAGCCTGCCGCTTACTGTACCACTATTTTTGGATTCTACTACTTCCCTATTCACCAATTCACTTACTCATTCACTGTCACTCATTCACTGTCACTCATTCACTGTCACTCATTCCACGTCGTCGATGGTTAAACGCTAGTTGGCTAAGTCTCATGGTACCACGGCCCTTGGTGGAACGTCCTAGCCATCACCCATCCATGACGTGACCAGAGGGATCACTGCTAAACTATTATGAGAACGTGGATGCACACTAATCTCTCAGCTAGCCTCTCCGAGCAATGTTACTCGTAAAATTGTCAATAAAAAAAACTGGTAGAGTCAAAAATTTTCCTATTGTAGAAGAAGCTGTGGTTCGAACTTTCGAGACTCAGGTAGTCCAGCATATTTATTTAAAGGTCCATCTAAGAGAAGACAAAATCAATCGCTGAAACCTAGCTATACTGTAATGGGACTGTGGCCTTAGAAGACACTTAATTCTTTTAGGGATATCTCACTACTCACCATGTAGAATATGTAAAGAGAAGGACGAAACTCTTTTACGATATACTACGACAAAAAACTTTCAAGTTATTTAACCCTCATACAAAAATAAGGATTATGTCTATTCTTTTAGTTTTCGTTGCCAAACACTCAAATGTTAATAAGAAATATACCAGGCAGCAGACTGACGACATTTTAACGACATTTTTTGGTAATTCTTGGTTATCGACGTCATGTTACCAAAAAATGAGGTGATTATGACATCACTTCTTTAACGTCTTTTTGACGTCACAAATTCGACGTCAACGTGGCGTCAATTTATTGTCACTATTAAATTAAGGTTTATATTAAACGTGATTTCAATACATTTTATTTATGTAAAATGATATGGCCTAAACAATTATTTTTTAAAACTCTTAAGTCTATTAACGTTTAAATCTGGCGCTTAAAATGCATAAAGATTGTATGATATCACGTGACACAGGACTGCGTCTGTCTGTGGTCATCGGTCTGTGTAGTATGGCTCGTGTGTGTTCGAGCCGTTCGAGCAAGCACGAGAACGGTATC